GCTTGGGCTTGCACTCTCTGTCAAGTAAATAAAATCTTAAAAAAAAAAAAAGTCTAAGAAGTAATGTTTTCAGGGGCGCCTGGGTGGCTCAGTCATTAAGCGCCTGCCTTCGGCTCAGCATGATCCCAGGGTCCTGGGATAGAGCCCCACATCGGGCTCCCTGCTCAGCGGGAGGCCTGCTTCTCCCTCTCTCACTCCCCCTGCTTGTGTTCCCTCTCTTGCTGTGCCTCTGTCAAATGAATAAATAAAATCTTTAAAAAAAAAAAAAAAAAAAAAAAAAAAAGTAATGTTTTCATATGCTCCAATAACTCCTACTTGTCCTTCAGATCTCCATTATTCCTGACAAGTACCTTCTCTAGCCAATCCAAATTGTGTCCCTTTTACTCTTCACCTTCATAAGTGTCTTTTTTTTTTTAAAGATTTTATGTATCTGACAGAGACACAGCAAGAGAGAGAACACAAGCAGGGAGAGTGGGAGAAGGAGAAGCAGGCTTCCCTGAGCAGGGAGCCCAATGCAGGGCTCGATCCCAGGACCCTGGGATCATGACCTGAGGTGAAGGCAGATGCTTAACCGACTGAGCCACCCAGACACCCCTCATGGTATCCCTTTTCTTCATAACATCATCACAACTCAGAATTACTTTATGCTAATCTCTACCTCCCCCACTGGATTATAAACTCAAAGGGGGAGACCTGTCCATTTTGTTCACAACTCTATCCCCAGTGCCTAGAATAATATGACTTTGTAGGCACAATTAAAGAAAATAATAATCCTTCATTGATCTATAGAATCTAACACTTTTCTTCCTTAAAAAAATTAACCACAGCAAAATAAAACTAAAAACTTCACTTAAGAAATTGATTACTAATGGTTTAGTCACTTTGGAAAGGTTTAGCAGTTTCCTATAAAAGGCATACATTTGCCATACAATCCAATGATCTCATTGCTAGGTATTTACAGAAGATGAAAACCTATAGTCATACACAAACCTACATGTGAATGTTTAAAGTGGCTCAATTCATAATCTTCCAAAACTGGAAACTAAATGTCCCCCAGCTGGGAATGGATAAACTGTCCCATTAAAAAGCAACAGATTACAGGGGCACCTGGGTGACTCAGTTAAGTGCCCAACTCTTGACTTCAGCTCGGGTCATGAGGCTTGGTGCTCAGCAGTTGAGTCTGCACGAGATTCTCTCTCCCTCTCCCTCTGCCCCCTCCCCCAGCTCATGCCCACACACTCTCAAATGAATCTTCTAAAAGAAGAGATTACAGATACATGTGAAAGAGATTAATCAAATTCATCATGCTGAGTGGAAAAAAAAAAGGCCTATATACTGTATGACTCATGTATGACATTGCTGCCAAAACAAAATTATAGGGACAGAAAATAGATCAGTGGTTACCAAGACTTACAGAGGAGTGGGTTTACTACAAAGAGGCACGGGGTAATTTCGGTGGGGGAGGGTGGGGGAGATGGTGGAACTATTCTATACCTTGATTGTGGTAAACTATACATCTGTCAAAACTTAAAATTAAGGGTGCTTGGGTGGCTCAGGTGGTTAAACCATCTGCCTTTGGCTCAGATCATGATCTCAGGGTCCTGGGATCAAGCTCCAGGTTGGGTCAGGGCTCAGTGGGGAGTCTGCTTGTCCCTTTGCCCCTCCCCCTGCTCTCTAAAATAAAAATTTTTTTAAGGTTTATTTGACAGAGAGCGAGAGAGCACAAGCAGGGAGAACAGTATTGGGAGAAGCAGACTCCGCACTGAGTAGGGAAACCAATGTGGGGCTCCATCCCAGGACCCTGGGATCATGACCTGAGCTGAAGGCAGACACTTAACCATCTGATCTGAGCCACCCAGGTGCCCCTCAAATAAAATCTTAAAAAAAAATTACAAAATTGTGTAAATGGGTGAATTTTAACTGTATGTAAATACCTTAATTAAGAAAGTAAGGAAAAACCTTTAAATTGCTTAGTAAAAGCTTCCTAATATTTTTTGCTTACTTGGGAAGTAACTGTAACATTAACTTAGCATTATCTTTGTTATCATGAGGTCTCTCCCACAGAAACCAGAGCTCTAAACTCTCTTAAGATACCCATGGGCCCCTTTAAGGGCAGTCCAAAGTCAATGCCATTTTCCTTATTTCACTTTTTGCTAGTGACTGATGGACATCACATTTAGGTCCTATCTGTTTAGAAAACAAAAGGACAAAAATCATATGGTCCCTCTCAAAGATTTCCATTGGATCAGGGGGTCAACTACCTTTCAGGAAACATGTAGCAGTTTCAAGAAATCAAGGAAATTCCCAGAAACTTGCAAATAATGGAGGCGACTTTGATACCACCTAAATGAAAAAGAACCTATGGGTTGGTAGTAAAAAAAGACATTATGATAAAACAGATCAGGAAAGAAAGCTTCAGGAAGGTAAACAAAAGAAAGGGGGAAACAGGTCTTACTCCTCTCATCCAAAACATCATGCACTCCTCCCTTGCAGGACCTAGATCTCACTGTTCACTCCCTGGAGGCTGCAGGTTAACTCCAGAATAGTATCTTAACTTTCAATTGACTGAATCTATTTCTGCAGCATTTTGTGGTAACAAATGAACTAAACATTTGAGTACCAATCTAAAGCATATGTAAAGCCACATTAACACACAAGAAATTAGTTGTCACCCTTTTTCTAGAGTTGCCCATTTCAGGTATTGTGACTACTATGGCCACAAAAAGTTTGTTTTGGGTTGAGCTCCATGCTCAACTCAGCAGAAAAGGTTAACAAGGTAAATCCATTTAAATACACATAAAAGTTTTTGTAATAGTCATCAGAGTTTTTACACCCCATGTAACTAAACTCTACTTAAAATCAAGGACTCTGCACCATTTGTACAGCCAATAGCCATTACTGGGCGGAATGCTCCTGGGAGGTAAAATGACCAAGTGTTAGAGGTATACAATTGAGTTCTGATCTGGCTGAAAACTTATTTTTGACTGCCTATTCTGGGCATTGGATGAATAACCAGAATAATTAAAAAAAAAAAATCAGATATGCCCTACTGACAATCTGTTTTAACTCCTAAACCAGAAAGCCTTTCCTGTTTCATATTCTGTAATCACACCAGAATTCCTGGGACAAATTTCAACAAGCTCCCACCTGAGATTCCTTACAAACATGGATAATTTAACAGCTTGCCAATTTAAAACATAAAGGTCAAACACTAGTTTGAAGCATTTGGGTCTTATAAAAACACTAACTTTACTCAATTCAAACACAAAATGCAGTTAGTATATAAAACTCAGCGGAGGGGCCCCTGGGTGGGTCAGTCAAGCAACTGCCTTTGGCTCAGGTCATCACCCTGGAGCCCCAGGATCGAGTCCCACATCAGGCTCCCTGCCCAGTAGGGAGTCTGCTTCTCCCTCTGACCCTACCCCCTCTCGTGCACGCTCTCAAAAAAAAAAAACTCAGAGCGGAAGTACAAATGCTATTATTAAGTTCAGGTTTCAAACTTATTTGTAGTGAACACCAGGTGGTGCTCAAACCAGACAATGGCACATCCGTTATTGGATTCTATGGAGTTAAGCATCCCAACTAGCCAAACTGAAGCTTTTCTGGACACCATCCCACTTTCCTTCCTACCCTTCCCCTTAGTGGGAGCAATTTTCTGCAGTTCTGAGTTCTAGGAGGTGGAACAAATCCCTTACAGTTAACATTACAGTTCAAAACACTTTATGCCAGCTACCATTTATTGATTTTTAAGAACCTTACCTAGATCATCTTCTCTAACTCTAAACAGTAAGCACATTTGTTCAAATAAGTTTAAAATCTTGGAAGTTGTGGACAAAATCTTTTATTAGTTTTACAGACCTCATCAGTGCCCCTGGTAGTACCGTTAATGACCATTTTACCTAACTTTGAACTTAATGAGAAAATTTTTTCAACTGCAGTCCTTTCTCACCTATGGATATTTCCCTTAGCACTGTTCACCTTATAAAATAGGACACATTCTGTTACTTTTTGCCTGATAAACTTCTTTCGTAAGCAAAAGCCTACTCAGGGAATTATGTTTAAACGGTCAAGATTATCAAATGCACCAGTGTTTGATATTTGCCAGCTATCCAAAGCCAAGAATTAGATGGTTGACGCCCAAACACTGTTGATTTACCAAACACGGAATTCTTTAAGTTCTAAAATTAATTTTTAAAGAGCTCGCTTTTCATCCTGTTCAACTGTCATCTTTCAATATTCCCTATTGTTAGTTTTTGGAGTGACACTTATCAAGACCTCCCAAACCTTCCCAAACTAAAAACAAAGCTTACCCTGCACTCCACTCCAAAATGGATCCTCTCATTATTTCCCATTGCACCTCTTCAAACCTTTGTTGTTAATCTCCAGTGCATGATGACTCTTCACCCAACCTTGCTCTTTAAAGATGAAAATTCCTATTGGGAAGTGGATTTCTAGTTCTTAAGTGACAGTAAACTTCCAGTAGACTTTCTTCTCCTACAACCTAGATACAATTAACTCTACCATTAAGTAAAACATTATTGAATGCCTGTTTTAGGGTACTTTAAACTACGTATTTATGTAACAAAGCATTCCAGTAACTGGGAAACTTAAGTGTGACAATATATCAAGTTTACCCCATGGGATATAATAAAAGTCTTATATGCAACAGACTTTGGTATTACAGAATTTAACCTGTTTTGTAACTATCTTGTGGTGTTACTCTTTATCTGTTCTGTGTTGCACCAACAGACCCCTTTTCCCCATAGCTTTCCCCCCTTAGACAAGGTAAAAATGTTCAAGTTTCCACCCATGAAAAAAAACGTTAACCCAAACTTAAGTTTCAGCGTTATTTTAACATTAGAAACAGGGTCTGCACAACACTTACTTTTACCTGAATAGTACTATACAAGGTTACAGTGTTGACCAAAAGAAGACACAGGTTTCTCATTAAACTTTTGTTTTAATGGGTCTCAAAATTCTGTGACAGATTTTTGGTCAAGTTGTTTCCATTAAAAAGTACTGATTTTAAAAACTAATAACTTAAAACTGCCACACACACACACAAAAAAACAAATGGTCCACAAAACATTCTCCTTTCCTTCTGAAGGTTTTACGATGCATTGTTATCATTAACCAGTCTTTTACTATTAAACTTAAATGGCCAATTGACACAAACAGTTCTGAGACCGTTCTTCCACCACTGATTAAGACTGGGGTGGCAGGTATTGGGGATAATATTCATTTAGCCTTCTGAGCTTTCTGGGCAGACTTGGTGACCTTGCCAGCTCCAGCTGCTTTCTTGTCCACTGCTTTGATGACACCCACAGCAACCGTCTGTCTCATGTCACGAACAGCAAAACGGCCTATTAAAACAAATTTTAGACCATCAGAAACTCTCCACACAAGCAGTATTTTCCAGCTTGTAATTTCCTAATACGCTCAGTCATCCTTACCCAGAGGAGGATAGTCAGAGAAGCTCTCAACACACATAGGCTTGCCAGGAACCATATCAACAATGGCAGCATCACCAGATTTCAAGAACTTGGGACCATCTTCCAGCTTTTTTCCAGAACGACGATCTATCTTCTCCTTCAGCTCAGCAAACTTGCAAGCAATGTGAGCTGTGTGACAATCCAGCACAGGGGCATATCCAGCACTGATTTGGCCTGGATGGTTCAGGATAATCACCTTGGAGGAAAGATTTGCATTTAATAAATCTCTAAAGGCAAGATTCTGGCAGTTAAGTTGAGAACACTGCCACTTTAAAGTGTTACCTGAGCTGTGAAGCCAGCTGCTTCCATTGGTGGGTCATTTTTGCTGTCACCAGCCACATTGCCACGACGAACATCTTTGACAGATACGTTCTTCACATTGAAGCCCACATTGTCCCCAGGAAGAGCCTCACTCAAAGCTTCATGGTGCATTTCAACGGACTTTACTTCAGTTGTAACATTGACTGGAGCAAAGGTGACCACCATGCCAGGTTTAAGAACACCAGTCTCGACTCGGCCCACAGGGACAGTACCAATACCTAAAATATTTACAAGTGGTGTCAAACACCTTATGTGAAGAAAGTACCGCAACCCATACTAATTACATTCTGATAATAACGTTCAACTTACCACCAATCTTGTAGACGTCCTGGAGAGGCAGACGCAAGGGCTTGTCAGTTGGACGAGTTGGTGGCAGAATGCAATCCAGAGCTTCAAGCAGTGTGGTTCCACTGGCATTCCCATCTTTACGGGTGACTTTCCATCCCTTGAACCAAGGCATCTAAAACAAGATTGTCCATTAGCATTCCTCAAACGGTTGTCATTTAGTGTCAAAATCTGCCCCCTTCCATCGCTTTCTCTAGAAGTCTTGAAGTCACTTACGTTAGCACTTGGCTCCAGCATGTTGTCACCGTTCCAACCAGAAATTGGCACAAATGCTACTGTGTCGGGGTTGTAGCCAATTTTCTTAATGTAGGTGCTGACTTCCTTAACGATTTCCTCGTATCTCTTCTGGCTGTAGGGTGGCTCAGTGGAATCCATCTTGTTAACACCAACAATTAGTTGTTTTACACCCAGGGTGTAAGCCAGAAGGGCATGCTCACGGGTCTGCCCATTCTTGGAGATACCGGCTTCAAATTCACCGACACCAGCAGCAACAATCAGGACAGCACAGTCAGCCTTTAAAAGACAACAAGACCTATCCTGTTAAATGTTCTTCAAAAGAATGAACTCACCTCTTTTCTGACACAGAATGCAAACCTACAGTTATTTTCAAGTTATTAATCCTACAAACCTGAGATGTGCCTGTAATCATGTTTTTGATAAAGTCTCTGTGTCCTGGGGCATCAATGATGGTCACATAATACTTGCTGGTCTCGAATTTCCACAGGGAGATATCAATGGTGATACCACGTTCACGTTCAGCTTTCAGTTTATCCAAGACCCAGGCATACTTGAAGGAGCCCTTTCCCATCTGTAAGGATTAAAAATGGTTACTTGGTAACTGAAACATGATCAAACTTCAACTTGAAATCCCTTACTCCCACTTAAGCACAAACGCTGAATTCCACTTTACACCTGTTAGGTGGCTTTAACTTAGGTCCCAAAGTTACATAGATAACATTAACAGCAAGCACTAGTCTATTCCGCCTTATGTAGGACATTGATACAAACTAGTGACTAGTTTTGCGGATGTTAACACTTGCTGACTTACCTGAACTACCTTTCTCATTATTTTATTGGACCTACCTCAGCAGCCTCCTTCTCAAATTTTTCGATAGTTCTTTTGTCGATCCCACCACATTTGTAGATCAGATGACCAGTAGTGGTAGACTTGCCCGAATCTACGTGTCCAATGACGACGATGTTGATGTGAGTCTTTTCCTTTCCCATTTTGGTTTAGGTTGAGCGGTGGTTTTCACGACACCTAAAGTGAAGAAAAAAAAAAATCCTTTAAACTACTGTCCCATAGGCTTGAGAACAAGCCACGACCCGCACTCGCAAAGGGCAAATTCCAAGGAGAATTACAACCAGTGCCAAACTGGCCCAACTCTCGTCTCCACCCACTAAGCGTGGGGTTAACTCCACCGCATGAAATCCCCTCCCCCGAGGAAGGCCTGCTTCCAAGGCGTTGAGAAGAAACGCAGGTGCCAAGACGGCGCCCGGTACACCGTGGGGTCACAGGAAGCAGCGGCCTGAGAGGGAAAGGCCCTTTTCCTTTGTGTGGGTGACTCACCCGCCCCGCTCTCCCGGGCCGCCGCGTCCTCCATTTTGAGCTCCCTGCAGCAGGGCCGGAGAGCGGCCATCTTTCCGCGCACGCAACTGGTGCCGAGCGGGGCCGGCCTCGCCGCCCGGGATGGGATGGCATCTCGCGGCGCGAGGCTGGGCACCAAAGCCGCCCGGCCCAGTCCACGGGACTCCCCCGCGTCCGACTCGGTGGCCACGGCTCGTGGGCCCCCCTCGGCTCGTCGGACATGTGCGCCGGGACGAGTGGGCCTCGCCGCCGCCCTCCGCGCCTCGCAGCGGCCCCACAATCCCAAGAACCCGACGACCGCCGAAGAGCCCACCCTGTGGAAATCCTGAACAACCTTCGCTGAACTATGTCGACGGAGGAAACCATAGCGCCTTTTTTTTTTTTTTGGGGTAGTTCCGTTGTTTGGAGACTTAAACGACTGTTATCAGGGCAGGCAGTAAGGTGAGGCGGAACTCGCACGCGGCCGCCACAGCACCCAAGCCAGGCCGCAAACCAACCACGAGGCGAAGGGGATCCTAAAAAAAGCGCAAGGCCTCGAACCTTCCCACCTACTCACAACCCGAAATTCGGGGTCAAGAACATCGTAAAGTGGCTCGGTGGCGCGGCGGTTGTAAAGGCACGCGAGGGCCGCAGCCGTCTCAAAGAGGCCAGGCCCGCGGAAGCCACACCCGGCACTCACCTGTGTTCTGGCGGCAAACCCGTTGCGAAAAAGAACGTTCAGGGCGGCTGCGGCACTTATATACGGTCCTCCCCCACCCTCGGGGAAGAGGGCGGAGCCAGCACACGACACCACTTTCCCAGTTTACCCCGCGCCAACTCCATCAGGCACCCGTTCAATCGCCGTCCCCTCCCCCTACTTCTCGGGGACCGTGGGCGATGTACGCTCAGCCCACTGAAGAGCACACATCGCCTCGCGCATGCTCCTCTCGACCCCGATGACGACGAGAGCGAGGGAGTGAGGAGGCGGGGACCAGCGATCCCTCGGTTCTAGGTTAGCGAGAGTTTAACGACGGTCCCTGGGATTCCCCAAGGCAGAGGCGAGTCCTCCTTTGTATGAATTACTCTCAGCTCCAGCTGGGAGGGGCGGGGGCGGGCGGCGAGGAGGCGGCCCAGCGGGGAAGTACAGAGTCTTCCATGTGCGATTCCTGGTTTAACTGCAAAGGTGGTGTGGAGGTTGGAGTATGCTTTCCCTCGGCCATATACCTCCAGTTCTTAGTCTCGTCCTCCCGAAGGTCTGGGACAGCCCCTTTTGAGCCGCTTCCTTCGCTCGTCGCAGGTCCGCCCCGGGCTGGCTCCTCCCCGGTCTCTGCCCTCAGATCCCCTCCGGGCTGGAGAGGCGTACAGGGCCCCCGCACTCAGGGCGGAGGGGTGTCGGAGGACGCGAAGGCCGGCCTTCACAGCGCTACAATCCGTAATGGCTTCAACTTGGTGGCCGTGACCAGGACGAATGTGCTCTTGGGCTGGCCTCTTGGTTTGTTCCATTCAAAGCCCGCTGCTTTTATCGAAGCCCGTATCACACGTTCACCCCATATGGTACTCCAGACGTCTGGTTTTTCAGTTTAGAATAGATTTCAATCCCACAGTTTGCCTTTTAACTCTAGTTTTATTACGCTATAAAAAGACCCTGTGTGTCTACTCTCGTGGTACATTTTCCTTCCAGTGTACACTCATTTGATTGCTAGGATGAGAAACCTAAAAAGAATTTTTCAAATTCAGTCTTTCCACATGATCTCATGCAGAAACTAAGATCTACAGCATCAGCAAGCTTATCCACCCAATTACCTATCCTCAACACTTGCTGTGAAATCACTGCTTCCAAAAAGTGGCCCATTTTCTGTCGTCCCATTGATTTTAACTAAATTTTAGCATAAATCGGGGGTGAAACCAGATAAGGCCTTTTTGGTTGACAATCAGGGCAGACTGAAAAATACTCCTTTCAAGAAAGAACTTTTATTTTTAATGAGCTAGTTACTCTGTCAGTATGTCTCTTCCATGTGTGGAACATCACTGCAACTCCTCCAGCCGATCTATTAACAAATGCTTGAAACCTACTATGTGTCCAGGGCTAAGTGAAGTTCTGTGGCATGTACAAAAGAAATACTTCCTTTTGGAGAGGAACCCACAATCAAATTGGAAGAGGAAAACTAATATATAAAACAACTGGGAAGCAGTTAAAGGCAAACTTGTATGGTGCTTACTCACTTTCTATTTCATTGTGGAATACAGTTCTAGTCCTAGCTTTCAGTTACTTCTCACAACCCAAATCCTTTTTTTTTCTTTGTAAATGAAATAAGTCTTTCAGAATAACCTTCCTATATCTTTTTGTTTTACCACTCTTTGTAGATATAAACATCTAAAATTAAGTTTTTTTTTTAAATTTCTTCATTAGCAGGTTTCTAGCCTTCTCTTTTTGAGTTTTCATGAAAGAAATTAGGCTGTATTTAAGTTTCCTTAGAAATTCATATAACATCTTTTTCCAGCAAAAAAGCCTTTTCTATGTCTATATTTCTAGCTTCTTTCCTTTCATAAATTCTTTTTTCACATTGCATTGTCCTGGTGCCCTTACCCAGTCATATACATATGGAATAAAATCATCTTGATATGCTAGTCAATGTTTGTAATATAATAAAAATGTAAGATACCAATTAAAATCAGTCACTACCAATAGAATAATGCAAATACCTCTGCTCTTGTTTACTTCCTTGGAAATATTAATGACTATTCTCTTTGAAACTAGATTCCCACAATCAGTCATATTTGTACATCATAGTAATATGAACCGCACACTGTATTATGTCAGATTAAGATTAGGATGCCACACTAGATTTATTATTTCCCAGGCCTTCTTGAGCAAGCCTCAAATGGTTTAGGTTTCAACATTATTGGAGATAATACTAGGTCATACAAATATTTTAACAGGAATAGCAAATTTTTGAAAACATAAAGAAATGGTTAAGTGACATGAGGGAGGGAAGCAAAGACTGAAGAAGACTAAAAGTTGAGTACTTGAAAGCTTTACGTGGAATCCAAAATTGTAGTTAACATCTAATCTAAGAAAGAAAAGTCAAAATGAAAGTGGATGTTGGTAAGAGGGAAAAGTATCAAAGATGATTTCCATTTAATAAAAGTGAGAAAAGTGACCTCTGTGAAATCTGCACAATTCATTAAAATGTGATGTTGCAAACTTAAGTACTTTTATACAATCCTAAAATTATAATAATTGGAGATATGTGTACTTTCAGTTGAATTATTGTTTGAAAATAGGGACCTACTATATTCTAACAGTAATTTTTTAAAAAGATTTTATTTATTTATTTGAGAGTGAGCAAGAGAAAGAGAGAAGGAGCAGGTAGAGGGGCAGAGGGAGAAGGAAGGAGAAGCACACTCGCCCCTGAGCTGGGAGCCTGATGTGGGACTGGATCCCAGAACTCTGGGATCACGACCTGAGCTGAATGCGCCCCTAACAGTAATTTTTATAGATATGTGTGTATATTCAACACTATGCTGGACACTGGAATTCTTTAATAGATGCACACAAACACTTCCGCAGGAACTTATAAAAACTACAACTTCTGATTCAAATCTCACCTTTTAATTTTTCTAGTACTTCCTCCTTACAGCTCTTTTGGATGGTGAAAAAAAATAACCCAGTATTCCAAATAAAGTAACAAAATGGTCCAAGAATGTTCCAGGAGCAAATAAAGACAGCCGGACTTGCATTATTATGCCCAGAAGAGAAAGGAAAATTAAAGTAGGACTCCAAAGCCGTCCCAGATTGTAAGCAAGTTTTCTCCAAGGTCCTGTGATTGCAGATGAGCATATAAAGTATAATACCTTACAGAGAATCCTTTTTAAAAATAGAACCTAAGGAAAAGCAAAACTATACATATCCCTGATTTATATCTAAGTAACCTCCTGGGCACCACCGACTAGTTGCTCTTATTCATGTTTCGATAATGGTCCAGACTTTTGAGGGGTGGGGGTATCTCGAGCCATATTGTGAATTAGATTTAGATACTAGCCACATGCCTTTTCTCAGCGGGCAGAGGTCCCCCTCTGGTCTTGGTCGGGGTCAGAGCGCAACGAGACCGCGAGTCCCGGGGAAGTCGCGCGCGGCTCCGGGCGCACCCAGATTCAGAGCAAGGGGGACCGGGGCGGCGCCGCCAGTATGCCGCGGTCCCAGGCGGCGAGGAGGACGCTCGGCCGCCTCTCCCCGGCGCCCGCTCCTGGGTCCGAGCGACCCGCGCTAGTGGTGCGCTGGGACACCTATAGGCAGGCCGGGACCCCCGGGTTCGGGTCTCCGCAGCACCGAGGCCACCCCGGCCCGCCCCCGGGCACGCCCCCACCTTGAGGTCACTTTCTTGGGTCCTCTGACTGCGGAAGAAAGCGCGCAGGAGGAGACAGAAAACCCCACGTGGCTCAGGGTGGGGGTCGGTTTTCTCACCTTGGCATGGCCTCTTTTTAGAGGCCACTGAGGCAAATACTCTGTTTTTAAAAAGCCCTGTTCCCTAGCCCCTGTGTTTTGAACAAAATCCTAATGCAGTTTGTCTCCCCACGTCTTTACAGCAGATACGGTGTGCCTTTTACTAACTTAAAATGGTAACAGTAACGTTGAGACTTGTAAATGTATTTTGGGGTTGTAATCTAAGGTCATATTTTGTTTAAGATTTTCCTTAAAGTTGTTCATACCATTTAGAGTAGTAAACTGTTAAAATACATTGTAGTAAACATCTGCATGACCCCTTTTAAGGGGGGAAAAAAGGATTTTAGTTATTAACTTAGTAAAAGGGTGAACTGCAATCGTTCTTTGATATCTATAATTGTGGTTCACCAAACATCTTTCAGTATTGGCTAATCACTCTGCTATTGGGCCTAATTTAAAGCAGCTTTAAGTAATTACGTTTTGCTGTGGCTTGCCGCGTTTTCATCTTGCCAGTGCCAGTAAAAAATAATCTTTAAAGGGGTATTTTAGAATATGATTAAGCCAAGAAATTATTTGGATTGAGAATCCAAGTAAAATGGTATTTCCATGTGCCAGGCACTGTTCTAATATTTGCAATATTTAATGAAATCCCATCACCAACATTTTACAGATGGGGAACCTGTAGGCAACGGATAATGTATGCATAATAAGCAAATGCAAACATATATTCTTTTTAAACACTACATCAAAAACTAATGATGTAATGTCTGGTGATTAACATAACATAATAAAAAATATTAAACTAAAACAAAACAAAACAAAACAAGGGAACAAAGGAAGAAAAAGACAAACCCAAAAGCAGACTCTTTTTTTTTTTAAAGATTTTATTTATTTCTTTGGCAGAGAAAGACACAGTGAGAGAGGGAACACAAGCAGGGGGAGCAGGAGAGGGAGAAGCAGGCTTCCTGCGGAGCAGGGAGCCCGATGCGGGGCTCGATCCCAGGACCCCGGGATCATGACCGGAGCCGAAGGCAGACGCTTAACGACTGAGCCACCCAGGCGCCCCTAAAAGCAGACTCTTAACTATAGAGAACAGATGGTCACCAGAGGCGAGGTGGGTGGGGGGGTGGGAGAAATAGAGAAAGGGGATTAAAAGTATACTTATCTTGATGAGCACCAGGTGATGTATGGAACGGTTAGATCACTATATTGTACTATGTAAACTACACTGGAATTAAAACAAAATTTTAAAAATCTTGAAAAAAAGTTTCACTTTTTGGCACAAAATGATAAAATAAAATATATCACATTGCTTCTTTCACTTAATACATCTTGCAGATCTTATGAGTACTTTAGGGCCCAGCAAAGCAACCTTGGAAATCCAGTAATCTGACCAGAGAGCTAGTTGTAAC